AAGCTTGCCTCCCCCTTCCAATGTAACCTTCCCATTTATCAGGACACAAATATCCCTCCAGAGCTGCTCCCTTCTTGAATGCCTTTCACAGGCCTGGGGAAGAGACCCAGGGAGTGCGTGCCTAGCAGTAGCTGGGAGCAAACCTGCGACTAGTGGAGGCTGCGGAAACTGGGTTTGGTGAGATGCTCAAGGCTGCAGTTAAACTGAAGATCGGATGTGAGCTCTCCCCTTGTCCATCGTATCGCAGCCCAGAGTCTGGGGTAAGAATTTCCTCTTGTCTCACCTCCGACGTCCCTGCAGAAGGGCCGGGTTTCCCTGCTTTATGGGGCCCCCTTTCTTCCCTGCCCCGCTGTGGCCATGCAAGCCCCAGTGGCCCAAATGCTGCACACGGAGCCCATGCTCCCACCGACAAACCAATCCCATCTGCTTTCCCATTTGGAAGCAAATGGCTTCACGTGACGAGACCGAGGGACCCTCGTGTTCTTCCGCCTGCCAGCTCCCCACACAAGCACCAGTGACCTCCTGGAACGAGGCGTTCCCAGGCTCTTAGTGATGGCGGAGAAGGGGCGGAAAGTCACGTAGGGGCTCTCCAAAGGGGCAGGCGGTTCCTCCCTGCAGAAGTCTGGCCCCCCCAAAAAGCCAAGGGACAGGGACACCTTGTGACGTCCGCGTTCCCTTCCTAGCTTTGCTGCATGCCCTTGTAACATGCCAGCTTAGCACGGTGCTTGGAAAGGCTCATCTACACCGGCACTGGACCATCATCGGCTGAACCCAACTGGTCCTTCGCCGCGGCTGGGGAGGGTTTCTCTCCTGTACCTACCCTGCCTTTAGAACTGGCCTTGTTTTTGCTCCCCTTTGGTCTGCCACGTGGTCTCTTGGGGTTTGGCGCCTCGCTGGGTTCCTGCTGGAGACAAAGGACGGGGCTGTTAGCAGACACCCAGATCTGAAGAGGCAGGGCTGGACCAAACCCACGTGCCCAGCCATGGGGAATCCCACTGCAACAAGGCCAGGAGCCGTGGAAAGGAAGGAATCCCAGCAAAACAAAGGGGATCTGAGTCCCGGCGCAGGAGGAGACATAGGAGCCTCGGTTACGGAAACGCTCACAGCCTGGCACTCCACCAGTCCCCTTCGATCTTAATATTTGGCGGGGGGGTGGGATACAACACAAGAGGGTGCGTGAGGACGTGGGGGGAGAGGAGGGGTGCAGCTACCAACCAATACACCTGGGTAGGATTTTCACGGCGGCAGAGGCAGCTCAAGAGGGAGCAATGCATGCTGGGACCTGTAGTTTCCAAAGGAATGGATGGCCACAGCAGGCCTGCACTTAGACCAGCTCTGCTTTCAAGGGATGCTGCTGCGGAAAGAGT